CTGTTACTTTAAATTCACTGGGTCTCCATGTATTACAAAGAACCTCTTGTGTCTCAGTGTTCGGATGGAAGTGATTTGTGTGTATCCCCAATCATTTCCCCGCTGTTGACCAGGGCTGTGTGTCTGTCTTCTCCAGACACACCTATCTGGAAAACCCAGGTAGAAAGCAAGGGGGGCTGACAAGATCCACGTGCCTCAACAGGCTGTGCGTGTGTGAGTGCTTTGTGTGTATCCCCAATCATCTCCCCGCTGTTGCCCAGGGCTGTGTGTCTGTCTTCTCTGTGCGTGTGTGAGTGATTTGTGTTTATCCCCAAGGATTTCCCGGCTGTTGACCAGGGGTGTGTGTCTGTCTGCTCCAGCTGCACCTATCCGGAAACCCAGGTAGAAAGCAAGGGCGGCTGACAAGATCCACGTGCCTCAACAGGCTGTGCGTGTGTGAGTGATTTGTGTGTATCCCCAATTATTTCCCGGCTGTTGACCAGGGGTGTGTGTCTGTCTGCTCCAGCTGCACCTATCTGGAAACCCAGGTAGAAAGCTGACAAGATCCGCGTGCCTTAACAGTGAGTGTGTGAGTGAGTGACCATAAGCCGAACCTGGGAGCAGCGTGTGTAACAGTACAACCTTCTCCCTTGGAGAGGTGGAGAAGGGGCTGAGGGGGATCTGTTATCTGCTTACATGACAGTTGCTATGGTTCATAAATAATTAAGTTCAAAGTCTGTGAATGTCTAAGCCTGTCTCACAGGCAGGCTGGCAAGCAAGCACATAGCCAGAGTTGGGGGCTATAGCCTGCATATTCACTACACATGCCTAGATAAAATATTAAAGTGAAGAGACCTTGACAACAAATATATGATTTTCCCAGTTGTAAAATATGGTTGTGGAATCTGGATCATCAGAAAGGCTGAATGAAGAAAAAGTATTCTCTTTGAATTGTGGAGCTAGGGAAAATTGTTGGGAATACCTTGGACCAGAAGAAGAATGAATCAATACTAGATTAAATAAAACCAGATGCTTACTGGAAGCAATAATAAAATCTAGATATTTGGGGCACATAATGTGAAAGTAAAAGTCACGGGAGAAGATCCTGATGCTTGGAAAAATTAAAGCCAATAGAAAAAGAGGCTGATAGAAGACAAGATCTATAGATATTATCACTGAAAATACAAATCTGAATACAAAAGAACTCAAAAGACAATCCTGGTGAAACTGTATCCATTGGGACATGAAAAATCAGAAGCTACTGAATGCCTGAATAAAAAGTTTTGCAGTTTAGCAATTTAATTTTAACTCCTTTAGCTTAGTCTTAATATTTTAGCATTTGCATTTAAATTCTATTTTAGATTATTGTTTTTTTAGTTTTTGATTTGTAATTTTTAAAAATATATTTTAATTATTAGAACAGTGAAATAGAAAGGAAAAAAGTTAACGTTAGATAATAACTGTAGAGTAAAACAAACAGCTAGTGAGCGTAAATAAAAATATTAAGGGAAAACTTTCTAGTGACATATTTCCCCTTTCCCTTCTGTTTATTTCTCCAACCACTGACCACAACTTAGATATTTATACTTTACATTGAACACTGAATATTAGTATCTATTGCAATATTAATTGCTAGTATCTATTGATGTCTTTCATCTATTATTTTTTATTGGTCTCATATCTTTTTTTAGTTATGTAACTACAGAATTCTGGTCAGTGACTTTAATAAGGTACTGTGATTTTGCCACAGATTTAATAGATTAGTGAAAGTTAGTCATATATTTAAAAGGCAAACAGTAGAAAATTAAGAGAATAATAAGGCAATCCAATCTGGCTAACTCCATTGCTCTTTGAATAATTAATCTGAAAAAACTGGATCAAGCTAACATTCATCCATTTGTATCCTCTTCTGTCTCCAACAGGTTTAGGATAATATAAATGAAATCATCCCATCTTACCTTCACAAATTTATAAGGTAAGCTAGGCCAAATGAATAGGATGTAGTGAGTTTCATTACTGAACAGATGGATTATAAATCAGTTTGACTATACAGGTAGTCCTCAATTTACAAGCATTCATTTAATGACCATTTGAAGTTATGACAGCACTGAACAAAGTGACTTACGGCCAGTCCTTACACTTATAACTGTCACAGTGTCCCCATGGTCACGTGATCAGTATTCAGACACTTGGCAACTAGCATGTATTTATGAAGGTTCAAGTATCCCGGGGTCACGTGATCGCCATTTGTGACCTTTCCAGTGGGCTTCTGACATGCAAAGTCAATGGGGGAAGCCAGATTCACTTAACTGTGACTGTGTGATTCACTTAACAACTGCAGCAAAAAAGGTCGTAAAATTGGGTGCGACTCACTTAACTGCATCACTTAGCGATAGAAGTTCTGGTCCCAATTGTGGTCGTAAGTCGAGAACTACCTGTAGTGCAATTGCACTGTAAGTGATGTAAGCTTGCACTTTTGTTAGAAAATTGCAGATTTCTTTATAGCCACTTAGTGGCAGCCCTGATTCATATCATTATCATCAATTCCAGAGTACTAGCACCAGCCATTTCTGAAATACAAAAGAATGTAAATCAAGTTTGTATTTTATTGTTTACCTCCTCCCTCATCTTCTTAACTGTTTCACCTTTCTGTTGAAGAAATGAAAACATGTATTAGCTTATGTGGACAAAGGTTTTGTAGAAATATTAAATAAATCAAGTCTCTAATAAATTTAGCCTTGAGTAAATGGCTTACTGACCTTCCCAATAATGCTGCCAACCTCCTGAAAAAGAAAGCAAAATGGAAATTAATGCAAAGAAACAAAAAAGAGAGATTGATCTACCTATCAATAAAACTAAACACAATAATTATATCCTTGATTAAATATATTCAGTATATCACAAACTTTAATTCTAAAACCAGGATGTTAAATGCGGCATGCACTTTAAAGAGTAGTATCTGAAATGCACTTTGATCAGAAAGTTAGAATACTGAAATATGAGGTGGTGAATTAACAATCTACTTTCTTGACATAGCTTCAATAGCATATGAAACCATTCAGTTCTTAGGCCCATCTATAAAAAACTCCATGGGTTATGAAGAATTATAAAATCAGGAGTGTTGTACAAATGCCTAGTTAATCAGACAAGGCATACTACCATTTTATAGATAAGGAATACTGAGCCTAATGTTACCAGTCCACAATTATTAATGTGGCACAAGGGCTTGTTGATACAGTATGCTAGGTCCACTAGCATCAGTGGGCAGAAGAAGGCATGGATAAGTATGTAGAAAAGTGTTATAACCAAAATACTTTCTTCAACAAATAGGGGAGAAAAGAGTTAAGTGAGTTAAGCAGAAATAGTGTACTTGTTTACACTTAAAGACAAGCTAAATGCTTTCCCTCTAGTATATGAAAACCACAACACAAAGCTTGTGTTTATGTGACAGAGGATAATATGTATATATGTATGTATATTTATGTATGTATGTATGTATGTATTGGGGTTTATACATTTCTTATTTTACACCTGAATATAGATCAAGTGGATTAGATATTGAAATGTTTGAAATACTTATTGGCTCCTTTAAAGGACCACTCCCTCACACACCATGTATGTATGTATGTATGTATTGGGGTTTATACATTTCTTATTTTACACCTGAATATAGATCAAGTGGATTAGATATTGAAATGTTTGAAATACTTATTGGCTCCTTTAAAGGACCACTCCCTCACACACCTTTGCTTCTATCAATAAAATCACATTCAATGAAATCATATGGTGATAAATAACATTCATCAAACCCAGAAATCCTACAGAAATCCTGTCATTCTACAAAAATCAGACACTTTAAGCAGCTGAAACCTAGAACAGATCATAAAACCCATTAAGGAAAAACACTAAAGGTAATAAGTAAGTCTGGAAGGCTTTCCTAAAAGTTCACAGTGCTAAGACCTCCAATAAATATCAGCTGTTATTTCTGGACCATCTCTAAAGGCTCCGTGATGGTGAGTGCATTCCAGCTTAGATATTGCTAGCTTGTGAATAATTAAAGCAAGGCTCTAGTCTAATCTCTTAAAAACAGTGCTGGCTAGAACACCTCATCAGTGAGAACAGAATAAAGAATGATTCCCAAATTGCATACTTAGTCTTTCAAAGGATAGTACAAATCTACTGAAGACCACTTGTAAGCCACAGTTTAGAGTACTTGGCTTCTCTATCTTATCTGGATTAACTTTCAGCTTGTTTACCCAACCTGAAAGAGCTACCAGCTTCCCTTTAGAATCCCAGGACCTGGGATAAACTTGAAATAGAATTACCTGCATATTGACAATACTTCACCCCAAGTATCTAGTTGTTTGTCCACAGCAGTTCCTGGAGATACTGAAAAGCACCAGGAGAAGATGGAAACTTGCACTATCTGTAGATTAATAGCCCTGGGTTACAGCAAGAATCTGCAGCACAATTTTCTGAAACTCCCAAGTAACATGCTTCTCTTTATTTCATGGCTACAATCATTATTTCTTTGAATTTTTGACCCTATGAATGATAAAATCTGTTATTTTCCAACTCCTTTGTGTATTTGCATTGGGTAACTTAAACTAGTATTTTCCTTCTTATCTCAGCACTGTCCAAGGACACCCTTGAAGTGTATAAAATGTGTTAGATTTTTATCATCCATTATCTTGAAACTGTGACAATAAGGCACGATAGTGATATTTAGTGGAACAGCAAATTTCATGCTGGTGTAGTTTTTTGCTGATTCAAGTATGGGTCAGCATTATTTACTTTGAATGAATTTAAATTGCCAGGGTCAGATGAATTATACCCTAGAATACTGAAGCAACTAGCTGATGATCTGGCTGATAGCATGAGCAATCCTGGAGGAGTGGTGAGGTGACAAATGGATGAAGAACTTCAAAAATAGGGAAAAGGAGGATCTAGAGAATTACAGCTGAGAGCTTGAATTAGTCTGATATTGATACCTGGGGAGAGTCCAGAGTGGATAAAAAATGAATGTTCTGTAAACACCTTGGAAACAAAGCCATAGTTACTAGAGATCAGCATGGATTTGTTAACAAATACCAGACTAACTTTATTTTGTTTTTTAACTGGGTACTTCCTTAATAGATTATGAGCATTCTATTTTTTTTTTATCTGCTTTCAATCATGATCGATTCTACGGAGACTGCCTGGACGAGTCCCTGTAGTTTTCCTGGCAAGGTTTTTTCGGAGGTGGTTTGCCATTGCCTCCTTCCTAGGGCAGAGCCCAGCTGGCGGTTGCAGGAAATTGAATCTCTTCCATTGCATTGCATCTAGCAACCGGCAACCAATTCCTGTTTTCCCGTGCAAGGCGCCGCCAGTGTTTTTTCTCCCACCGGAGTGAGAGTACCTATTTATCTACTCACCTACACTTTCAAGCTCCTAGGTGGGCAGGAGCTGAGGGCGCAAGATGGGAGCTCATCCCACTGTGCAGAGCTTGGGCTCGAACCACTGAAGCGTCAACCATTTCTGGCCGGCAACTTCCAGCATCACTGATTTCAGAAAAGCTTTTGACAAAGTATCCTATGACACTCTGATCATCAATGGTTCCTCACTGACCAGGCATGAGGTATAAAGTGCAGTGCCACAAGAATCAGTACTAAGCCCTTTTCTCTTCAAGGCTTTTATTAATAACTTGGTAGAAGAAATGCTTGTCAAATTTGCAGAGGACAGAAAATTGAGTGGGTTAGCTAATAACCAAAACAAGAGAACTAAAACTGAAAATGATCTTCATAGGTTAGCTAACCAGACCAATTTACAGAATGAAATTTAACAAAGAAATACAGTGTTATTTACTTAGAAACATAAATAAAATGCACAGGTATGGGATGTGGGATATGGTTAACTTGGTTAACAATATTTATGAAAAAGATGTTGGAAAATGTATTGTCGAAGGCTTTCACGGCTGGAATACGATGGCTGGTGTGGGTCTTCCGGGCTGTGTGGCCATGTTCTG